GTAATGGAACATAGCGCCAAAAACGACCCATGTGAATTGTTTTGGATGTGGGCTAGCCAGCGCTGTACTGTGTTCAGTTGTTGTTGTTGTTTGGAGGAATAGTGGTGGGTGGTATTTCGTTAAGATGCTTGTACATTTCCTTTGATGCGCAGTGGGTGTTTGAGCTTTGAAATGACTTGATGCCGTTTGAAGATTTGGGGTGGGGTGGAGGTGTTGTGCGGTTTACTTGGCCTGTGTTGTTGACTTGCAGTGGTCTGCGACATGTCCTCGCGACTGCCGTCTGCGCATCTCTCCTCGTGGTTGGATTTTGTTGGCGTTTCTCATTCGCGCTGGGGACCACTTAATGTGTGAGTTACAATTTGTTTGTTTAATGTTGACGGAACTGTTTGCGCATTTTCCATTGTATCGTGCGTAGTTGCCTATGCCTGGATGCCGTTACTTTATGCCTTGCAAGTGATATTTGTGCTCGTTCTTCTCCTTCCTCAGTGGATAGATAAATGGTTGGGGGAGCTTGAGGAGTGGAGTTATGTTGCCCAGTGGGAGGGTGTTGGACGTGGCGGTGGTCGTGGCGTTGGAGGATGACGTTTGTGAGGTGAATGAAATGTACCTTCACTTGTACGTTGTGTGTGCGTGAATTTGTACGACTCTTTGCAAACATTAAATGATCTCCTTGATTAAGCAATGATGTCTTGACTTGTTATGGTTGTTATTGTTGTTCGTGGTGTGAAGGCAATCGGTTGGCCGTGTTTATGCGGGTGGGTGGTCTGCGATCTTCGTGTTAACGCATCCCGTCTCCTGGGGAAGTGTTTCACATGGTGAGTGTGGTGGTGCGCATTAGTGGAGGCTTGTGCGTAGTTGGTAGTTTTGCAGTATCGTGGACTTCGCATGACTTGCACCCTCAGTGCGGCAGCAACCAACTACTCTGCGCGACGTACTGTGTAGTTTGTTGGGCGACAGATCAGCGTCTTTTCGTTTGCTTGAGGAGCCATTCCTGCCTTTCTTTTTGGCTTACACTCCCACTTAACTGACCGCTTTATTTCCTACTGATGTATTGCTCATTGGCCATTGTGCCTTTCCTTACCGTGG